GCCAAGGGGAAGACAAAGGGATTGAGAGAATCCGGAGGTGTGCTCAGAAGAATGAAGAATGAAAGGAAGCAAGCCAGAAACCCCAAGAAATAAAGCCTAGAGCCATACATCGGGCCGGCCTCATACTCCCGAGAATCGGGGTCAGCATCTCTAGCCAAGGGCTGAAAATCCTTGAAGAAGTGGCGGATCCATGTGGTATAGGAGGCACGGTCCGTCCTTACTCGACTGGTCCTCCTCGCTGAACCATCAAATACAGAACTCCATCGGCCACAAGCTTGAAGATTTAGCTTCAGAGATTGGATCAAAGAATCATCCTCGGAGGGTGTCCGCTCAGGGTAGAAGGCATCAGGACCGGTCACTTCCAGACGCAGCAGCATGAACACATCCTCGAGAGTGGGCCCCATCTCGTGCTGGCCAAGTATAAAGGTATGTGTCTCGGTGCTCCACTGAAGAGCCATGGCTTCAAGGCTAGCATTGTTGCGACGGATGGATAGGGATCGAGATATTTTCACTGGAATCAATAACCGGGCCTCCTGAAGCCACTGACAGAGGCTCATGTCCGAGAGGACATCATCGACCCACTCCTGCCAACCAAAAGGAGGGTTTGAGAAGGCCTTGAACTGAGGATAGCAGTATGGAAAGTCCCCTCGCTCAATCCTAAAGCGTAGCACCGAAGAAGGAGAAATAAGGGCCTCATGTCCGGAGTCAGTGTCCTCAGTGAGACATAATGGAGCTCCCTTTGGAGTCAGAAGAGAAGTGGTAGAGGTAGCCGCCAGCCAGAAGGGGTCCTTCCGACCAAAATAAGGAGATTTCCTCCACTCAGACGCCGGAGGTACATCCCTCTCTTTCATGAGAGCTGATTTTGATGACCTCGGGACAACGGGTTTCTTTCGAGAAGACATATGGCTGAAACAATAGGTATAAATAGCAAGGAGTTGACTGTATTAAAATTCAGAATATTGGAATTGAAGCAACACATTCGAATGAAATTTCGGCATCAACTATCTGTTTCTCAGAGAATCCATGAATTCAACAAATTCTACGAGGAATTTTTACACCAAGAATTCAGGCACGATGTCTACTATGCTAAGGGTCGCAACAACCAGTCATTTTTATAATAAGATTTACATGATGGGTTTATCAACAAATTCAACCTCAGAAGTCATCAACAATTCATTTTCTCGGGTATTTTTCAAGCTCAACAAATTGTAATACTAATGGGTGTATCATCAACATACAGAGTTCAAGTTTCTATCATCAATAAGAGGTGCAATGTCATAGGCCGTTTTGTGATGAAGTTCAAGCGGGTCATTTTTTCAAAATCACTACATTCCATATTAAAGGTCCGATTTATACGGGGCTCAAAATTTGGACAGAGTGAAGTTCAATAGCAAATTTCAGGCCCAAGATCCGAAGTATTTTACATTTCTCATCAGTAGCAAGATTTAATGGATTGTCGTGCGAATTACAGGAATATTCCTCTCAAGTCAATGTTAATTGCTCAATTCAAGTGGCAAGTATTCTATTACAAGTGTAAAATTCAGCAGCAATGGTTCAATTTATATATGCAATAGCCCAGAATTTCTTTGGCAAATTTCAAGTCAGAAAAAAAACCATTTGAATAAATCTCATTGCCTATTTCAAAAATTGCAAAGCCCAAATAAATGCAGGCTTCACATTGGAATTTCAAATCACCAATATGAAGGCTTAGTGTATCAGAGTCTTTGAGCTAAAAAATATGGGAATTAGAAATTCTGAAAAGCTTATTCTACAAAAAACTTACACCAAGATTAAAATATATATTTATATATATACTTACCCACTGGTTTGAGGGAGGAGATTTAAGGCAGCAATGTCAAAGAAGAAGCCGAGAAATAGTACAAACCGGAGACAGAGCAAACCGCGGTTAGAGGCAGTGGCAAAGCCGCAAGTATGAGATGCAAAAATAAATAAATAAATAAGGGCCGTAGATATGAAACAAGCACACCCAAGGCTGATGCCGAGCTGAGCAGTGCTAGGCAAGCCCACACACACGTCGCGTTGAAAGGGCAAACGTGTGTGGTTGACGCTGGATAGTCAAAGCTGGAAGCAAGAGTGGTGCCACAGAGTAGTCGGCAACCACACACGTCACGTTGAGTGGGCAACGTGTGTGGCCTGCGTTGGAATAGTTGAAACCGATGGTGGAGTTCCAGCAGAGAAAAGCCAACAGTGATTGGTGGTAGAGTAGTAGTAGATTGAAGCCAACAGTGCGTGGTGTTGGGCAGTCGAGGTAGGCGTCACAAGTAATGTCGTGGAGACGATACCGTCAATGGCTCTCGAAAGCCAAAAGCAGCAGTGGTGTTACGAAGACGCCATCGTTGGTGCTATTCAGCAAAAATCGAGCTCCGAAGAGTCTGGGTCTCTGAGGAAGTTATGTTGTTTGGCTCTGCAATAGCAATCAGTATACACACGGCTTTAGCCTCTAACCTGTTAAAAGAAGAATGTGTGTCATTGGAATCATAAATTCTGAAGTAAGACTTTTCACAGAAACTGTCGCAAAATGTATATGTATATACAAGAGGAAAAATGGGCCACAGTTAGAGGGATGAAATCCGAGGCCGATGTAGGAAATATAAGCAGAAAATCAGAGGAGTTTTACGGATTGTGATCAACAAGAATGGTGGCACGAGCAACGGCTGAGACAGGAAGTAAGCAAACCGACGTCACGTTGAGTCGGCGACACATTTCGCATTGATTAATCACGGCTGGAGCCAGTGGGTGTGCAAGAAAAACCAAAATCTGTGTGGTCCAAGCTCTAAAAATATCGCCGAGATTGCGCTAGGCAAAACCACACACGACGCGTTGAGTAGGCAGCGTGTGTGGGTGGCGCTGAACAGCCGGAACAAAAGGCAAAGTCGGGGCAGAGAGGAGCTAACGGTGGTCGACGCTGGGCAGTTGAGGCCGAAAGTTGCAGTGATGTTGCTGGAGACGTTGCAAAGTTGTGACTGTGCAGAGAGGTTGGCGTTGGTGTTGGCCGTCGGAGCTGGGACAAGGCGGTGGCTGGGCCGCGACGCCTGCAACAGTCAGAGCTGGGTTAAGTTGGTGACGTGGCTGGGAGTGGCTATGGAGGACAGTGTACTAAACGCAGCGACCTCTGGTATTATAAAAGCGAAGCCTTCTTGGAGAAGAAGAAGGCCTGGGTTGGTCTCGCATATTAGGTATTAGAAAGAGAGAGAGCGCCACAGGGTTTCAAGAAAAGAAAGATGTATTAATTAGGTTTTTTGGCTCTTTTCTTTAAATAGAAAAAAAAAAAAAAGGGAGGTGTGATGCTGAAACATTCCCTCAAGATATTTTTAAAATGTGTATATCCATACAACATATAACGGCCTGCTGAGTCACTAACTACAGAACAAGGAGGAAGTATATATGAGCCTTATCATCTCGCTTTTTGTTCAGAAAATAAATAAAATAGGTGCTTTTTTATTTTTTGGTTGGAATAAAAAATATATATATATATATATATTCTTATGTTATAAAAATATATTTCACTCGGACGGAACAAAAAAGAAAAGAAAAAGAGAGAGAGAGAGAGAGAGAAAAAAAAAAATTTGTCTTGTCAAATTTTATCCATAAATTACAGTGCGTCATCAACTTTATCCATAGGCTCTGTCGAGACAACATTTTTTTTGGGACGTGATGTGAAGCAGGGCCGGAGAAATGACAGTATGCATGTTTGAGAAATTTAAAATTTCTCATACACGCAAGGGGCAAATGTAAGAGGAGCTAATTTGGGCCCACTAAATTAATTAGGCCCAATAGTCGAAGGTTGGTGGGCCCGAATTTATCGCCATCAAACAGGCCGAATCGCTCTAAGCCTCGAAAGGGTTCGGATCCACGAACCTAGAGATCCGAAGCACCTGACTTCGAACGGATTCAAACGCAATCTAGAAGTCGCTCCGTTAATGAGTCCCAGAACACTTGCAGGCTTGGAGCTTTCCGGGATCTACGCACCAAAACCATGGGCGTAATGGAGTTCGAACAAAGGACCCGATCCCGAGGACGGTGAGTGGAGATAAATTCACTCTTTGGTTAAACTAGCCTATACCCGGGTCGAGGTGGCACGACTCGGGGGGTCCATGAGACTCGGCAATATTTAGCAGCGGGGGGTCCTCTAGGATTACCTCGGTCCTTTAGGATGATTGGCGATCATTGGTTAAGTGTGGCTAAGAAGAAGGGCTTGCCGAGAGGTTAATCTCCTCTTCGAGGTTTTCCTCATCCTCGGAGAGGTCACCTTCTCGGACAAGGTGATTAGAGAAAATATTCCCCATGTGCCTTGTACATGGGCTCCATCCTACATCATGAGGTGCCTATAAATAGCACCCACCCATAGCTTCAAGGGATGGATTTTGGAGATTTTTAACTCTTGTTAAAGAACTAATTTCCCTTCTCCATTATCAACCTTGAGAGCGAAAGTGGAAGATCCATGGGAGAATCTTGTCATTATTCTCTCTCTAGCCATTTTACCTTCTTCATCCAATCTCTTATCTCTACCATCTCCTTTACTCTTGTATTCTTGCGTTGAGACTATTGAAGAATCTAAGCCTCTCATCATCTTCTAGAAAATTCGAAGTTGTTCTTCAAAGATCTTTGAAGATCTTCGAATTTTCCAACTCCTTTCTTGAACCCTTTCATACAATAGTATATATACATAGACATGCATATATATTAGGAAGCGCAAAACCACATATATTAGAAGTTCAACACAAAAGGACTCCCCCATCATATCTCAGCATCTATAATTAAACAGAAACCTCAATTTATCTAAAAAATCTAATTCGATTCAATTCAAAAAATAAAATAAAAAACAGGAAAGCTATCGGATGAGGTCAAGAAAAAATTATAGATGAAAAATTATGTAAAGCAATTTCTAGAAGAATAGTTCAAAATTTTCAATGATCACCAATCGTTAACTCACCAAATGACAAGGCTAATTTATTTCCTGATACAAACTACAAAAAGGGTAAACCAGCAACAGATAGATATCCTCTTCTTTGTTAAAAAAAATCAAGTTGAAGGGGTATGATTATTACTCGTTACAAATAACAAATTTTTCCTATTCGTAAATAATTTATATTAGTAACAAAAATACGGAACTGGTATAATAAATTAATGCTACTTACAAACATGAAATTACAACTAGATATCCTCCGTTTCAACAAATTGAGTTCTCAACAAATCAATAGGCTCTTGCTTGTGTGCTCCTGAGTTCAACTTCACACGCCGTTCTTCATAAGATGCTGTCAACAATCAAAGCATTAAGGAAAGTTAACCGTTTATTTATTCTTGTCAATAATTGATTGAAGTTGTGCTTAAACACTAAAACACAGCAACATAAATACAGAAGAAGACGACAAAAAATTGAAGAAACAAACATAAGCATTGCCTATCGTTGATATACATGAGACTGTAGATTACCCAACATATATGGGAGTTTGGCTCTCTTTCAGAATCAGTGGTAAAAGACACAACACAAAGTATCTTAACTACCAAAAAATAAACTAAAAGCACATCTTAGAAAAAAGTATCTCAAGTTGTGCAAAAAAGTTGGGAAAAAATCCAGGAAAAAGTCTCTTTCTTGAACTAAAAAAACTTTTTAGTTTTGTTTGGATCTTAGATTTCAGGAGTAATTTGTGGAGGGAAAGAGAGGGAAAAGTGAATGGATTTTTTTATTTTTTTTTCACTTTTCCCATCCTTTTTCTTTCTTTCTACAAATCCCTCATCAAATCTAAGATCCAAACACAACCTTAGTGATAACAATATTAAGGGAAACTCTATAGGCAAGTTATCTAGCAATAAAATATTTTTGCCGAATATAAAAATAAAGGCTGAGAGCTCAAAAACTCTCCCTAGAGCCTAAACTCATTTGGTTATAAATGCCTTCTAGTCATTTTCACCCATGTAAAGGTAAACCTTAAATTATCCCGCATAAGTTTTTATACCTCAATTTGGGAACAAATGCAATAAAAGTCATTCTCACCACCCTTAAATAGAAAACACGCATCAAACTTTGCATGCATAAATTTAAGCAAGAACTATGTCTTGCCAAAGAAGGTACTCATAAGAGTTGTAGGTTGTGTAAAGCGACAGAGAACTCACGCTCGGTTGGCCGTGACATGAGAGGAACATAGGAAGCTACTTTGTTTTTGGTTTTATTATTCAATATGCTGTCATCTGCAAAAATTGAAGTGCTCCGAGCATTAGAGAACACGGCAAGAAAAAAAGAAGATTCGGCATAATGAAATGATATTGCTTTGTGCACCATTTTCAATGAGTGAACAGGTTAGCAGAGCCTCATGAAAGATGGCAGCTTGAAGTTTGTAAGTTCGGTATTCCATCTCCAAGTGTGCATGCAGAGCTTTCTTGGCATCTACACAAAAAAATTCACGAAACAAATAGAAATAAAATTCAGTGCATGTGAATGTCCACCAACTAACAAGCAAGTTGTCAAAATCCATTAAAAAGCACAACGGATGCAAAATACTAAATGGAACAAGATGTCCAAATTTTAACTGTGGCGAAAAAAGTGTTTATATTCATTATCATGAATTTGTTAATTGAAATTTCAGCTTATTTCAGCTTTCAGCTTAATTTAAACAACCAAGTCACAGTCGCCCACGTACACAATATTTGATGAATTAGTCATATGATGATGATGATGATGATAGACGACCAAAATATTGAAGCAATAGTAGGTACATAATCTGACTAAACTGATTAAATCGTTCTCTCCATACGAGAGAGAGAGAGAGAGAGAGAAGGAATAACAGTGGTGCGAACACAACCATAAGAAAGAGATTTACGGGGAATCCAATTACATAATTAAAAAAAAAAAAAAAATCACCAATATGCATATAATTTTGACATTACACTATTACTAGTGTTAAATAGTCAGGTTTGGTTTGGCAAGAAGAGAAGAAAGAATAGGCCCCGAAATGTAAACCAACCTCTTGCCCCCTCTCTCAGTTGCAACCCCTTTTCCCACACGGAGATACAGGCCAACAAACAGACCAAACAGAATAGACTCAAAGTGGACATGACAAACACACAAGATTCGAACCCACAATCTCCAAAAATAAAACAAAAGAATTGGTATAATGTTAGTCAAATCCATTACCCCAAAATCTTAAGCTTTGGTGTTTGGGGAATAGGATGGACAACATACAAGCTAGCTCCCACAAGTTGTATAATAAAGGACAACGCAGATGATCATCTTAGGGTTCATTTCACAAGTATATAATGAACCATAATACTATAAGAAGATTTCCACAATGACAATCAAATTAAAACAACAATTGGTTTGATTTGATAAACTAGAGAGAAGATGCTGTTAAAACCTATCACCTACTTCACCCACTTAAACCTACTCCACTAAACCTAACCCACTACACCACTACCACCTCACCTACTCCACTAAACCTAACCCACTACACCACTACCACCTCCACTTCACCTACTCCTTACCTACTACACACTCACCCTCTTCTATATATAGGAATCATGAATCATGTAATAATATATAACATTCATCAATCAATCAATAATACAATTCTCTATTTCTCTTTATATATTAAATTTTACATGGTATCAGAGCAAGGTTAAGAAGCTAGTAATTTTGCTTCACCGGCGGGCGGCAGTCTCGCCTTGGCCGCCCGCCGGACCTCAACACATACCTCCTCTCCAATCACCGCCAATAACCACTGCAGCAACTCAAACCACTACTAGCTCGAATTGACGCCAACTCTTCCAGTAACTCCAAGAACCGAGTAGAGGCCCCTCCAATCTGCATCTTCTCCATAATTATGTTGCGAGTTGCGGATAACAGATTTTCCCTTCTCATCCTTTCACTTGCAGAGACCCCAGTTGTAATGAGATCCATACCAATGGTTCCAGTGGAGTGATCTGTTACAGACTGTTGCAATGCAACTTCCAGAAGACGAAAAGCCTCCATCACATCTTTCTTCTCCACCAATTCTGAGAAGCGAATCCGAGCCAATGCTTCACTGAGACGTATCAAACTCTCAATTTGCCTAGGTGTTGCTGTTATCACCTTTTTGCTGCTGCCTGGGAAGTTTCCTCTTCTTCTCATCTCAACATAACCTCGTGTCAACTGTTCTGCAGCTTCATCAGATAACTGTGGGTGTATATGATTTCTGGCATAACTCACATATGCAGTTAATGTCGGAAGGTCACTAAACCTAACCCACTACACCACTACCATCTCACCTACTCCACTAAACCTAACCCACTACACCACTACCATCTCACCTACTCCACTAAACCTAACCCACTACACCACTACCATCTCACCTACTCCACTAAACCTAACCCACTACACCACTACCATCTCACCTACTCCACTAAACCTAACCCACTACACCACTACCATCTCACCTACTCCACTAAACCTAACCCACTACACCACTACCATCTCACCTACTCCACTAAACCTAACCCACTACACCACTACCATCTCACCTACTCCACTAAACCTAACCCACTACACCACTACCATCTCACCTACTCCACTAAACCTAACCCACTACACCACTACCATCTCACCTACTCCACTAAACCTAACCCACTACACCACTACCATCTCACCTACTCCACTAAACCTAACCCACTACACCACTACCATCTCACCTACTCCACTAAACCTAACCCACTACACCACTACCATCTCACCTACTCCACTAAACCTAACCCACTACACCACTACCATCTCACCTACTCCACTAAACCTAACCCACTACACCACTACCATCTCACCTACTCCACTAAACCTAACCCACTACACCACTACCATCTCACCTACTCCACTAAACCTAACCCACTACACCACTACCATCTCACCTACTCCACTAAACCTAACCCACTACACCACTACCATCTCACCTACTCCACTAAACCTAACCCACTACACCACTACCATCTCACCTACTCCACTAAACCTAACCCACTACACCACTACCATCTCACCTACTCCACTAAACCTAACCCACTACACCACTACCATCTCACCTACTCCACTAAACCTAACCCACTACACCACTACCATCTCACCTACTCCACTAAACCTAACCCACTACACCACTACCATCTCACCTACTCCACTAAACCTAACCCACTACACCACTACCATCTCACCTACTCCACTAAACCTAACCCACTACACCACTACCATCTCACCTACTCCACTAAACCTAACCCACTACACCACTACCATCTCACCTACTCCACTAAACCTAACCCACTACACCACTACCATCTCACCTACTCCACTAAACCTAACCCACTACACCACTACCATCTCACCTACTCCACTAAACCTAACCCACTACACCACTACCATCTCACCTACTCCACTAAACCTAACCCACTACACCACTACCATCTCACCTACTCCACTAAACCTAACCCACTACACCACTACCATCTCACCTACTCCACTAAACCTAACCCACTACACCACTACCATCTCACCTACTCCACTAAACCTAACCCACTACACCACTACCATCTCACCTACTCCACTAAACCTAACCCACTACACCACTACCATCTCACCTACTCCACTAAACCTAACCCACTACACCACTACCATCTCACCTACTCCACTAAACCTAACCCACTACACCACTACCATCTCACCTACTCCACTAAACCTAACCCACTACACCACTACCATCTCACCTACTCCACTAAACCTAACCCACTACACCACTACCATCTCACCTACTCCACTAAACCTAACCCACTACACCACTACCATCTCACCTACTCCACTAAACCTAACCCACTACACCACTACCATCTCACCTACTCCACTAAACCTAACCCACTACACCACTACCATCTCACCTACTCCACTAAACCTAACCCACTACACCACTACCATCTCACCTACTCCACTAAACCTAACCCACTACACCACTACCATCTCACCTACTCCACTAAACCTAACCCACTACACCACTACCATCTCACCTACTCCACTAAACCTAACCCACTACACCACTACCATCTCACCTACTCCACTAAACCTAACCCACTACACCACTACCATCTCACCTACTCCACTAAACCTAACCCACTACACCACTACCATCTCACCTACTCCACTAAACCTAACCCACTACACCACTACCATCTCACCTACTCCACTAAACCTAACCCACTACACCACTACCATCTCACCTACTCCACTAAACCTAACCCACTACACCACTACCACCTCCACTTCACCTACTCCTTACCTACTACACACTCACCCTCTTCTATATATAGGAATCATGAATCATTGTAATAATATATAACATTCATCAATCAATCAATAATACAATTCTCTATTTCTCTTTATATATTAAATTTTAAATTTTATGGATGCATTGGCAACATTCTGTTGTTTTCATTGAAGAAGACAGGAAGCAGTACTGCCACTCTGACTAGATCCATTATAACCAGGTAATTATTCAATGAGCACCATGTGACATTGCCTACATGGTGCTCCAAATGAAACACATTGAATTTTTTTTAACAGATGGGACATGGTGACTTACTTTTGTTAGGTAGTTAGGAGACAAAAGGATGACTCACTTAGGTTCCGTTTGTTTCGCCATAAAATATCTTACACCTGAAAATATTTTTCACGTAAATTGATTTTGCACAAAAAAATTAAAAATTAAAAATTAAAAATTTGCTTTTTTTGTTTTCTGATGTTTGGTTGACATTTGAAACAAAAACTTTCTATCTTATGCGTTCGGTTGAAAGCCAAATGAAAAGTCACCCTTTCACCTTTGGACAGATCAATGTGCTAAAAAGGCCGAGCTCGGAATGAATTTCCTAAAAATTGACTTGAGAAAATTTTAATGGCAAGTCACCTTGGGGACTATGACAAAATATTTTGCTTAAAAAATGTTTTACTTACTTTTCGTTCAACCAAACATTAAAAAATGTGTAAAATATTTTCAAGAAAAACATTTTACGTCAAAACAAACGGAGGCCTAGTGTGTTGCAATTTCTCATTGGCCAAGAATTATGCCACATGATTACTCTGAGAGAACCTAATAATTTTCCGTTACAACCAGGGGATTTCTGGTACATTGCTAGTCAGAGGAGAAGTCTGGCCATATATTTCAATGCTCAAGTACCTGAGGAGCATATAAATCTGAGACCTTCAAATTCACAGGATAGCAGTACCAATGGAATTTCTGGTGCCATTATGTATTGAGGTTTCCTGGGCATCATGTCAATATCCAGCAATGTATCAATCACCTACAGATTCAAACACTTGATCTGAGTTCATGACAAAACATACAAGAAAATAAATTTAAATTTCAAGAACTTTTCTCCCAAGTCCCCGTTAAAGAAGGTAACCATTTGTTATTTTCATAAATAGGCCCAGAATGGCCATCATCCAATGAAACCATTTTGATATCTCCCTTACTAATATTTTCCATTGATGCAACTCCATAAATTCTGCTGTGCATGTTTTACTCAACCACAGAACATCATCACACAACATGATATGAAGTCCATGTGTAGATGCAGCTTCATAAATGTGAAATTCAAACCTTTTTTGAGCTAGTGGAGATAGAGGTTACATGTCAAACCACTGTTATAGTGTATCTCTTTGGCCTACTCTATGGGTGTTCTATAATCAATGGACCAACTGAGCCATGCTACTAACTTGTTAAAGGCTAGAAGATAAGAGAACATATTTTGTACTTGTGTATTTAATTTCTTCCAATGGAAGACTACAAACCAATCAATTATGAGGATATCAATACGCACATTAGGGGATTCAAGACCTTGGCCAATCAAAAATAGTACAGCAACCATACACCGAACCTGGTGCCACAGGAAAGCAGTACCTGTGATTTTCACTGCGCAAAGCTGATCGCCTTCAAACCTGCATATAAAAAGAAACAGTATTTTTGACTAAATTTACAAACAATTTGATCAAGAAGAACAAAATCGTAACCAGTCAAACCAATGGAATGCACATTAAGCAAATTATCAAATAATGGTAGTGACAAATTTGAGTAAGCTGCTACATAGGAACTGGGCAGCTGATTGATAACAAAATGAGAAATTGATACAGTAATCCAAATAATACCTAGAGACATGTGTCCTTTCTCAATTCACTGTGACATTATTGTATCTTCTCCTATTTGTTTTGAGCATACTACCAATGTTCCATCCAAGGTAAATAAGAAAAGTACTTGCATGACTCAATTTTTACTATTCAGAAGGACCCTAATATGCAACCGATTTTTTTTCTTTTGATGGAAACTAAAGTTTTTAAAACACAGAACACAGGACTTTATAATGAAGAGGTGAAAAAATAAAGATAAATGCTCTGTACTTCACATCATTTCAGTCAACATCGCACTGGTTTTCAATTTTCAACATTCTATCTCCTTCAGCCTTTATCCAGTCTGTAATTCTCCAACATCCCAATAATAAAATCCAAAAAACATAACATCAATGAAAATTTTGAATATTGTGCACTTAAAGTCATGCCTTCTACTTGTGTACAAAAAATTCATAGGGCACCATGTTTTCTTCAGAAGCCTTGACTCATGATCTTCTTGACCGTCCCACAGACATTATAGTGCCTTCACCTAAATTTTTTATCATTTCAACTCAGCAGTGCAAACATCGGTCTTCATATCTCAAAAAAAATAAATGAAATCAAGAAGAAAAAAAAAAAATCAAACATTCAAATATTTGCTGCATTTATTATGATGATTCCTTACAAAGTTCACCACAAGTCTTGGCAAATGAACAAAGAAGAGTAAGCTATCAAAATGTTAGAATGAGATGCCAGAAAATCAATGTCATCTAGCAAGTAACACACAAGTGGAAGTCACAAACAAATGCAATAGTTATTGCTGGGTGCTAATCTCAACCTTTCATTGCAAGGAATTATTTCAAACTGCATGATCCGCCTCCTATAGTTACGTACATTAGCTGCATCCATCTTACAGAAGTTTCTGAAATCGTGTTCCCCAACAAATTTCTTACCTGCATTCTCCATTGCCTGATGAAACATCAAACATGTAGCAAATAATGTTTTAGCATTTTAGCAGGCACCATATGGGTTACTCCATATATGTTAGAAGCATAAAAACTCATAGGCATACCTACCACTATATTCAGATTTCCTCTCCAGAAAAAATACTTATATTCCCTGCTCAAGCAGCTAAACCTGCATTGCAGAAAAAATAAGTAAGGGGACCCATGACCACGTAGGCACACAAAAATCAACCATGCAAACTAGTTTATTCTGATGTTTTAAAAAAATAAATAACAATAATAGCAGCTCATCTTGCAATATGACTAGAAAACTAAACAGAGAATGAACTACGGAACCAATAATCTCCTTTAATCAAAGCTTGTAGGCATTAATCAGAATGGAACACACAATTAGTGATTTTTCCTTTTAGGAATAAATGGTAGGGACAAGGTAAATTCTTAAACAGGATATGGAAGTCCAGAGACCATTTGGATTTCTTCAATAGAAGAACTCACAAGAGTACCACATGTTGGCAGACTTTGACATTTTAGATTTGTGTCCAGAAACCATTAGGTGTTTGTTTTGGAGGCTATGGGGTGGCTTGGTGGATGGGCACACCCCTTATTAAGAGTGAAGCCAGGGTTCAAGTCTCACTCCAAAGAAACCTGAATGGGTGTTTGCTTTGAAGGCTAAAACGTCAAGGTGGGATGTCTTGGTATCTGCATACGTCTTGGTAGCATTAATTTATGCTCAACAGCTTGGCAGCAACTCACTCCAAGCAAACATTCTTAAATCCTTTCCTACATATACTGTTAGAATTTACCTACCACCAATTTACCATCACCTACCACCACCTACTCCTCACCTACTCCTCCCCTACTACACTCACCCTCTCCTATATAATGAGCCACTCACCATTTGTAATATATACAATCAACATTCATCAATCAATAATACATATATTTTTAACTTGGTATCAGAGCAAAGTTAAGCACCTAGTATTTTCACTTCACCGGCGGGCGGTAGCCTCGCCTTGGCCGCCCGCCGGACCTCTCATCTCTCAACTGTTAGCAGCTACTGATATTGCAGATCCACTGCTTGACCCGCAAGGGGACCCTGATGTTATGTAAGGATTCAAAAAAAAAAAAAAAAAAAAAAAAAAAAAAAAAAAAAAAAAAAAAAACAGACACACCAACAAAACAACCACACCCCCCGTGGGATTTTTCTTTTCCCTTCTCTACTCTACTGCAGGTCTCTTCTTTTTGCCTCCGTCCTGCGCGGCCCTTGACGGTGCTGTCTCCGTGTTTTCCACGCCACCGAGCACGTTCACTCCCCCATACTCCTCCACTGCAGCATATGGCGGACCTCCAAAACGGAACATCACGATGGTCTTCCGTTTCAGCTCCTTATTTTCTGCCTTTAGCACACTTATCTCTGCTCGCGCATCGTTGGAGCAGAGCCAGCTGGGAGTTTAACTGTTGCACTTCATTTGTCCTGCTCTGCAGCCGGTGCGACAAGTTTGTGACCGCCGTCATGTGGTTGGATTTGGACTTGGATATGAAACAATATCCAAAATAAAATAAAAAGAAAAGCAGTGAGAAAAATAATAAAGAACAAATAACAAAGAAAATATACAAAGATGACACATGACATCCGTTTGCACTGCCATTTTTTGCTCCACCGACCGCATCGGAAAGTTCAACGGAGCAAACTCCGGGGCGCTTGGTTGAGGTTCCAGTGCCACCACACCAGTTATCTCTCTTGTTGACTCGTTGAGATCGGGAAAGAGGGTGAGCAGTCCACGGGAAGACGAGGCCATTTTCTGCGCAACAGAGTGTTACAAACTATCTCTCTCAGCAAAATGACCTCTCTTTCTCAGCAAAACGAAGAATTTTTCAGAGGTTTCTCTCAGTTTTTCTGTCTCAGTTTCTGCCTCCTCCGTCTTGGTTAAATAGCCGAGGCAACCACGCGCATCGCGCGCCTCTTGACGCCGACAACCTGGCACGCCTTTTCATGGCACGCCTTTTGAGGGTGCAGGCACGCCTTTTGAGGGTGCGGGCACACCTTTTGAGGGCACGACTTTTGAGGGCTCGATATCTACATCCATGTATATCTTTTGGGCAGCCTATATACACACTCATACAGTGTCTTCTACACCGGTCAGCTTTATCAATCCCTTTGTTTCAACCTCAAAGAAGCAGGAGCTTGGTCGAAGTTGGCGCAAGTTGATGGCTGGGTTGCGACGCCAGGACAAGTCAGTGACGGATCTGTGGTGTCTGTAACAGTCAGAGCTGGGTCTTCAATGACGACGGCGGCGACGGGACTGGAAGTTGCAATGGAGGTCTGTGCAAATGGCAACAGTGTTGGTTTGTTGAAGAAGAAGAACACGGCGGTGACCTCTGGCAGTGCAGAAACGAAGCTTTCTTGAGGATGAAGTTGGGTCTCTCGATATAGAGAGAGAGGGAGAGAGAAGGCTGAAATGGGTGTGGCGGCTGTGCAAATCTACATCGTTATGACACCACCATCCAGTGTCTTCACCAATGGTCTGACACGACCATACAGTGTCTCCTATCTTTTTTTATTTTTATGTATTTTCTTGTTTTGTTCCTCTCTTCAAACTCAAGTTGGTTAGTTTCTATCCTCCTTGAGTTTGCGGGGGGCTGTTAGAATTTACCATCACCTACCACCAATTTACCATCACCTACCACCACCTACTCCTCACCTACTCCTCCCCTACTACACTCACCCTCTCCTATATAATGAGCCACTCACCATTTGTAATATATACAATCAACATTCATCAATCAATAATACATATACCAAACAAAATGAGGAATTGCCAAAGTCCTCTCTTACACAACAGATATAACTCATCAAAGACGTTAATTTTTTTGTACATTAGAAGTGTATTGAAAGAAATGAACCACGTTAATCATGTGAAAGAATATGGTGAGCACTTGCACCATATGAGACAAAAACCTTATTTTAAGTATGTTAAAAAAGCAAGAAACCCGCATTTTAAGTTGTCCATTGGTCAAAACAGTTCCTTAAATGCAGTATTTAATCTACGACAAGCTGCGCTTTAATTAGAATGGTAAGCCCTGGGAACTGATGGACAATAAGCGACTTGTTTTCTTAAAATTCCTTTCTTCTTTTCTGATAGAAATCATGATATGCTAAACTCAGTTCAGCAAATAAATCACACAAGGATCTCATACGTTAGAAAATAAGTCAGTAAATACCATTTAAAAATAAAATAAAATTGCAATGATAATAAAAGTTACAGTAAAGGAAAAGACTTGCAAAGCTAGACAGACCTTGCGCTGAAATCAATTGGAGCAGGACACCAGCCCATAATTCGAATATCTTTAGGAAGAACTCTATTCAGTATTCTCACATAGTCTACTTCTCCTTCTGAGATTAAAAGAACAAAATAAAATAAGAAGTAAAGATGATGGAATAATTAATTTAAATTACAAGCAGTGAGATGCAAATTATCTGTAAAAATGGTTCAATATATTTTAATCGAGTAAAATTAGGGCCGTTCAAAGATCAGTTCCTCTGAAAAAACCAACTGGTCCGAGCCAACTCGACCAAAAATGGACAGCTCCTCGAAAATCGGCGGTCAGCTGTGGTTTCAAAGCATCAAAATTTTCATTTAAGCGGTCAGTAACGGTTTTAAAAAATAAATTTGATTTGAAACCGAACCTTCTAATGTACATATATATAACACGCGTACCATTATTTATTAGTTGTAATGATTGCAGCTTATCAACCATTATGCCTGGCATTATTTGATTGGAGCATTAAATTACACTATCAATACCACTCTTTCTCTCTCTCTACTTTATCAACAAGTTACCTTATCAATTCAGGGAGTGGTTTTGCTGCAGTTGTTGATGCTACAGTCGTGTGCAGTCGCCTTGTTGTCACCATTGAATGCTAGCCATGCATTCTAATTGTTATTCACTTAACGAAGCGTCATATAACAGAGACATCACCATTATACACTCACCCATCCCCACATTAATTATTTATTATAGGAAATTCAATAACTCTCTCTCTCTCTCTCTCTTTCTTCTCGTCTTCCCCTCTCTACTTCTTTGCTTCATTTCAACTTTGAACTCACATCTGACATCTTGGATCCTTTCATTTGAGATCTTCAGTTCTACTTCTTAGCTTCACTTACTCATCAATAACTTCAGTCTTCAGATTTAAATTTTATATTGATCACTAAAGAAAGATCAAGAAAGAGAGAGGGTAGTGATTGAATTTCATGGATCTCCAATAGTCTTTTATCTCAGCTGTATTGAATCAAATGACCCAACAAGAAGATGATGATGAAACTTATATCCATCTGATTAGTCTCTCGAATTATTAGTTGTTGAGTTGTGTGATTGAACCCTATTCAATCTTCCCGGTTAGTTTCTACAAGGGTCCGACAAGACTCTGTAAACTGTCCTTCTTGGCCTCTATCTCCCTTTCTCTCTTCGTAGATTTAAGGATTTGTGTTCCTTGATTCTCTCTATTTATTTATTTATTTTTCTGATTTCTTTTGCAACCAGCAAATAGATTTGTCCTACATGAAACTTAGGATGTTGATTTGTTGAATCGTTTTACGTTGGAAAACTAAACATTAGTGGGAGTTTTGCAAAATATTTGTAGATTAGTAAAAAAATTATAAATTTAATTATTAATGTTTATAAATTTTATTATTAATTTGATTTTTTTTTAAAAAAAGAATACACTGCGTTGTAATTCTCTCTTTTATTTATAAAGTAATAGAAAAAAATCTGAAAAAATTATATAAAAAAAACTTGCGAATTTAACCTTTGTAAGGTCATCTCCAACCGTTCACCAAATCCAACATCAAATTCAAATTTGATGAAAAAAAGCTGCTTTTTATACTCCAACGGTTGTACCAAAACAGTATCAAATTGAGAAAACATCAAACGTTTCACCAAACCGAGGACGGCTTGCTCCTTTCACCAATTCACTGTGCATAGCTGTTATTGTAAAAATTTTACACTACGGGGTCGACCACCCGGTTGACCACCCGGTCGACCCCCTAGTCGACCACCTTAGTATTTTTTCAAACAACAGATATGAAGGTAAAAACTGAAAATTTGATCTTACCGGTTGACCCCCCGAGCGACCTTCTCTGTTTGATGCACGCTACAGTGAACAGTTGGAGTTGTTGGTATCAGAATGAGAAAATTGGTTTTTTTTTACTCAAATTTGGTGAAAAATTTGTTCAACCGTTGGAGATGCTCTAACAAAATAAACTTGGAATTTATCAATTTAAACTCTAAAATTTTAAATTATTTTCAATCTAAATTATTGAAGGGCCAAAATACAAATGAAGCGGATTCAAGCTTTGGGCCGGTCCAAATCACTAACCCTAAACCCAAATGTCCATCCGATATGGGACAAATAGCCACGTGGGCCAAACCATTGAGCCCATCTCTACAAGCAACCTCATAAAAGGCCGAACAGAGGTATGATCGGAGCCGAGCTGAGGAGTGTGCAGTGTGCCACCTCAGCTGGTCCCCCATCCTAGAATCACAGAAACAGTTTACAGAAGTTATGTGATCTGTTATATGCAAAGCTACAATGAGCACGTGACTCTATGGTTAACCACCCCGTGGTCCTCTAACTTGGGCAATGCTAAAGTGAGCCTTGATGCACCCAAATTCCATGAACCCATCTTGAGAAACAAGCAAAGTCTTCTATATAAGTAACACTCTCTTCACATTGAAAGTATTTCATTCATTCTCAACTAATCTTGAACTAGCTCATCTCCTCTAATCACACATTGAGCACTCCCTCTTCCTCTCTCTACACCTAGTGAGAGTTCTTCATCTTCTCCAATCACTCATTCCCACACCAGAAGGGTTTTCCAACCACCTTGGTCAGGCAGCTTTGACGGTGCCTTGTTTTGCAGGTCCCCAGCTCCTAGACAGTCCAATACAATCTCAAAGCTCCAATCCAATTCATCTAATGCGGAATTTGGTACGCACAATTATCTATATATTCCTTTTAAGTAAAACTAATGAAAAAAATATACATTTTAGTTATTAAAAGTCAACGAAAAAAAATATTTGAAATATTTTATATACACTATCATTTTTCCTTTGATTTTACTTAAAAGAAATAGAGTGATGATTTAGACGGAAAATAAATCAAAAAGATTACAATTTAAATTTATAAAATTAAAAAGTAAAATTTTATTTTGTTAAAAGACTCAAAATTTAAATATTTTTTTGTAATTTCTTTATAAAAAAAAGTAATATGAAAGGAGAGAGAGAAAATCATCCTTATAAATCCAATGGCCAAAAGTAAATAGTCAATGTGGGAGATCATGTCTATAATAATGGAAGTCTCTGTTAAGTCACGCTCAATTAAGTGAATAACAATTTGAACACATCTTTAGCATTCAAGGGTGACAACAAGGCAACCGCACACGACCGCACCATCAACAACTGCAGCAAAACCGCGCCCATCAATTCAGTCTTATATTAGATACCCCACTTTCTCTTTGTTCAAAAAAAAGAGAGACCACTTTCTCTATCTCATCACCCACCCACCCACTCACCCACCATATTCTCTCATCACAACGCTTCCTCTCCCTATCTCAAACTTCAAATGAGAATAATAGTTCCATATTTTCCCGCTCACGTTGGACTTCTCTATTGCTGTCATCTGGTTTTCTTACAACTCTGTCTCCCTATCTCAAACTTCAAATGAGAGTAATAGTTCCATATTTTCCTGCTCATGTTGGACTTCACTATAGCTGTCGTCCAGTTTTCTTACAACTCTTCCTCTCCCGCAAATCTTTGCCTTCAATTTATAGTTGTTTTTTTTTTGTATTTTTGGGTTAAATGTATTTTTTTCCCATTACATCTTCTTCTCTCTCAACCTCTTCTCCTCTCTGATCTCTATCCTCCATGATCCTCTTTTTTCAGACTGCGATTTGTAAGATATATTTAATGTATATGTATACATCTCTCACTATTTTTCTTGGATGTGTGAGATTTTTTTTTTTTTTTGCCTAAGGACACTCATCGTCTATCGTCTCCGACTGACACCGACCGTGGAACTAAATCAGTTCTATCGGCGGTTTCAATGTATAGATCAGTCAACAATGGTTGTAAAGATATTGAACCCGATTCTATCAGTTTCAGATGGGGAGTCAAGGTCAAATCCAACCCAGTTTGACCCGTGAACCGCCCTAAGTAAAACACTAGTTCAATTATTTTTTAAGACATTAATTGCTGATGTCATATTCTTAGACAAATTGCGAAACATATTGAAATCATCACCAGGACCTTATCCAATTGTTTGAAGAAGTATAAATTATGCACTGCAGCCCCATCCTATTGAGGCCATAAATTGCCATTAAAACCTAAATTCCACTAGGATTGGAAAAGAAAATGAGGCCATTCTGTATAGACTTGTCAAGTTTCATCAAAATGAAGAGATGCGATGAACTCGAGCCAAATATGAAAAATCAAAATTCAAGACAGGAAGATTGTTTGCTAACCATATAATTCCTTTGCCAGAAATGCCCCAGAACATCCGTTGCTCTGTTCTGTTTTGTGAACAGCCCTAAGTAAAACACTAGTTCAATTATTTTTTAAGACATTAATTGCTGATGTCATATTCTTAGACAAATTGCGAAACATATTGAAATCATCACCAGGACCTTATCCAATTGTTTGAAGAAGTATAAATTATGCACTGCAGCCCCATCCTATTAAGGCCATAAATTGCCATTAAAACCTAAATTCCACTAGGATTGGAAAAGAAAATGAGGCCATTCTGTATAGACTTGTCAAGTTTCATCAAAATGAAGAGATGTGATGAACTCGAGCCAAATATGAAAAATCAAAATTCAAGACAGGAAGATTGTTTGCTAACCATATAATTCCTTTGCCAGAAATGCCCCAGAATATCCGTTGCTCTGTTCTGTTTCCTTATGGTTAGATCGTAAAAACAGTGAAATCACCTGCACCAATCATTTCCATGCTTTTTAATGACTGAAGAAAAAGGCATTTAACAAGCGACTTCTACATGCAAATTAAAATAATAGAGATAAAGAAAATACTGGATGCTACCAGAAGAAAATTATAGTCTAAAGTCGTCGGTCTTGCCATTTTTTATTGGTTTAAGACATATAGTATTGATTTCTACTAATATGAATGTAGTAAAGGTATATACTGATACATATTACAAAAATGAAGGTAGTAAAGGTGAATGATCCTAATACTAATCTCAAGTTAATTAAATATAAAGCAATAATTCCAACTACTTGGTGTATACCACCATTCTGTCTTTTTCTGATCAATTCTAATGTAGAGCCATATCTGCAGTTAAAACCAGGCAATCATATCATTTCTCAAAGGCACAACCCTCAAATCAAACCTAACACATAGATTGGCTTTGCTAAATAGAAAAAGGAAAATCAAGTTCAAACTACCAGCTTATGAAAAAATTTGCAATTATGCATGCTAGCAATCAAAACTAAAGAGAAAAGGTAGTTCTGCTATCATCTTACTTGCCCAACAGAAGAAACTCCCTTGTCTGTTCTGCCACATCTTGAGTACTGTAAGTCCTTCTTGTCACCATCAATGAGCCTTGTCTTCTCAAGAGCCTTAAAAATTTCAGACTGCAGAACATCCAAATATTATACAAAGAATAACACAAATATTCCACTGATTGATTCAATATAAGCAAACCAAACCTCTAAGTTCAATGCAAGCAAATCTGATATCCGTACAAGTACAACACCTAGAGTCTAATTTTCAGTTCGGCTCCAGATGATTCTGGGATGTCATATGTTATTTCCACTTAAAATATGTAGAAACTGAATGTTCATCTCAAAATCAAAACTTTCCATAGAAATAGTTAGTCTTTGCAAGATGAACACAAAACTTAATCCAGATAAACCAGTCGATGCCATTTCCCTTCCAATCTTTATGTAGTGAGTGAGAAGCATTCCATCTTTCCATACACTCCAAGATGCCTAGATGCAGCAAGACATTAAAAATAGAAGATATTTGCTGATATTTTATAATGGCACCAAGGAAACTTGGCACTCATTGATGAATTGTGTGAACTTCCGTAGAAATAAACTGCATGCTACTTTTGAGAATACTTGAGAGGAAGAATCTCTAAGGTCAATTAATCCTAACCCACATTCTTCATGGGCAAACATGACGGTCAATGCATTTATTGCTCACTCTCAGAGATCGTCTGTGATAGTTTAGGGTGGATAATACTTGAGTCCATCAGCAAAGCTATTGGAATTCACAGTTTTTGGAAGCTCAAGAGGGAAAACAAGGAGTGAATCAGGCAGTTATGAACAACCCGTTGACTGATGTTTCCTTTTGGCTATACCTCAAGAGGACAAGGGTAAGAAAAAGTAGGACAATGCTAAGAAAAAGTAGGACAAGTAGTGGACATATCACCACCTACCTTTTTCCTGAGCAATATATATATAAAGACTTAATGGAAGTTGAATTGAAATTGTCAAGTTGTGATGAGTTCTAGAAAATCCTTTGTACGTTATGAGTTTCTAAATTGGGAAGTACGTATTTGTTGTTAGTTATGCTTTTATTAAAACAAACGTTCTATAAAGATCATTAAACAAGTTGATCAATAAGACCTTGTGCAGATTTTCACTCTTGTAAATGCTGAGACTGACAGACTTTGAATCTTTGATAACATTTTCTAGGGGCCTTAGTGAGATTTCTAAGGTCTATTTCTCTTTTTTCCTCTTCTTCGTTCTTTTAGTTTCCAGCAGTGTTGAGCATAATTAATAGCCTCAATCAGCCCTTCATTCAACCAACTAACCTACCATTTCAATCCCTCAAATTTTATACCAACATCAGCATAAAACCCCAACTAAAAACTAACTCTAAACCCGAAAAAATTGAAGTCAAGCCTTCATTCGATTGTAAGCAGCTTAATTCCCATGTTTAAGGGTCCATCCTAAATCAATATGTCTATTGATTACTCTTGAACTTCATGCCACCCATGTTCCATCAAGCACTACAGAAACTTTTGCCAGTCTGAAACCGAGCAACATAAAGAGAGATGCATTAGGTAACAGCCAACTTAAAACCTCAAGTAAAACCCTTCAATTAACAAAGCAATTGAAGTAGTTTCATTTGAATAAAATATATCTTTTAAAAAAGTCACCACTGAGTTGGGTGTTGCAGTCTTTGTACTTCAGACAAAACACAGCAAATAGAGACGAACAAATAATTAGGTTATTGAAAAGGGAACAATGCCTGATGATAGCTCATCATATTGTTCACCATATAATAATTGTCATCAGTTAAAAACATTCAGGCTATGACAAACATAGAAAATTGCCCGCCTGTAGGGGGAAAAAATTGAGAATGCACCTTAAGGAAAAGCCCCTTTCCATATGGTCTCTTATGACCTTTTCTAAAATGTTGTCACCTAGCAGTTAGCAATGCAAGAGCAGTTCCATTCCATTGGGTAAAGAAAACTAAAAAGTGTTAACTGAAAGCATGCAAGAAAAGTATAATGAGACATAACAAACATTCTCGTACTGTGCACCAACCTCTAGTATATAATAAAAAATTATGCTCGACTATGTTGAACTAATTAATTACCACTTTTTCTTTTGAGTTGGGAGGAATATATACAAATATCAGTAACACATTAAGAGTTGAACCTCAGCCCAATATTTGGTTGATCATATATATAAGTTGACATATTTCTTCTAACATAGACATTCAAAAGCTGAAAAGATGAAACCTACCTCGACAGTTGGATCCATTTGAGCCTCTGAAGCAAAACCAAAGAACCTGAAATGCAGCAGATATTGACTCACAATATGAACAACATGAACTCTACTAAACAAAAAAAATTCATAAATATCACAAGTAAACATGAAGATTCAAGTAGGAACCACAAAATAAACAGTACAACAAATGTGGAAGCAAAAGCTAAAGAAATATAAATACTGTGGCTTGTACCAGCAACTTCAAATAAGAAAATTCCGAATGCTACTCTTCAACCACACTACTTGATTCATCAAAAAAGTGAAGAAAACAATTGCTAATTCAAACTACTGGTTGAACCCAAACATAAGCTTCAACCCATCAAACTTGCAGAGTTGATCATAGTTTTAAGACAATATACTCTGCACCAGGCAAAAAGGCCAGATTAGAACTGCCAAAATCGAGGACTGAGCATAAATATAATAACTGGCGTAGGATGTTTTCCCTCTTTTTTTGTCCCTTAATCACATGCCACTAGGAAAAGAGACTCCTCTAGTGTCAACCATAAAAAGATAATATATGCCACTAGGAGGGGAGTTAAAAAGTAAAAGATTATAATCCAATTTGGCTTTGATTAAACATGTTGGACCATCCAACTTCGAAATTTTGCGAGTAAAAAAAGGTTCCAAAGTTCTAACAAGAGCTACTGAAAGGTGGCAGCAGTTTTGCTTCTATCAAGAACAGAAAAGAATGGACAAAATTTGAGTATCTCCCACCTACACAAACCCCAACAGGTGCAGCTTCAGGCATGGCCATTTACAAATGTTTATATTTTTCCAACTTAGATTAGTCCACAAAAGAATGAAGATTCACAAGTCAACTGAACAAAGCCCTAAAAACAATACCAACCACTTGGGAAGTCAAATTCACCAATTAACAATATCCAAAACCATATACTCTGCTTGTTCACAGATCATCATGCCTTGCTTCATTGCCTCAGCCATAACCCATTGAATAGTTATTAAATCAATTAAAAAAACATATCTTTAAGTCTTTCATTTTATTTATTTTTTCCTATATTCTTTCATGTTGTGAAGTTTGACCTATATGTTATTTCTAAACTTCTTGGTAATATACTTAACTGCACACACCAACAAAGAGAGAAAGGGCAAGGAAATTGAGAAGCGTACATAAATCTTAACAACAAACAAAACAATGCTAAATGGTTTAGATTGGTATCTTACATGTACTCGGGTACGAGTATCGGGTGCAAGTGTGTATCCAAGCATCAGACCTTCATAAATTTAAATCTTGGGATATTGGGATACGTATCCAAAATTGGATATGGGTACGAGGACATGTCATATGCACATATACATTGCATATTATATAATATTCTCAGATGAGATGTTTTAAATTATATATAAATATACTATAAATTAAATACGATTCAGGAAAAATATGAAATTTCTATATCTAATTCATGTGAGAGGCTAAAAATATTGCTTTGCTAACAAATGTGAGCTTGTTCTTCATCATGTATTGTCACAAATTAAAGGATAGTGTTGGGCACATATCCCACTCCCTTACCCATGTTATATCTAGTGGACACGGGTACTATGAGAGAAATAGAAGAGTCCGTGTAACACAACACATACCTCTGACCAAAATACATTACTTTCAGAGCAACATATCTCTTGGAGGACCGATGCCCAGTCCTCATAGTGTTATAATCTGCATCAAGAAATAGACAACTTCAAATGAGTGCTTACTATACTACAACTATAATTCAACACTGAATACACAAATGGAAAGCAACCTGCCAATCTCTCCTTCACTTTCTTCCTTCTGTTCTTACCGCCTTCTAAATTTAATCTCCCCCTTCCATTGACTGAATCAACACTACCCATATTACGAGCATCAAGATTTTCCTCCATATGTGGAACAGTAATCTGCAAAGCTCATGTCATTAAATTATCAAACCGAAGAAACATCAATAAGTCAAACAAGAAGGATGATCATAGTTAGCCTGGCTAAAATCGAGCCGTTATAAACACTTCACGAAGCATAGGTCAGAAATTCAAATTCCGTGAAGTGTTTGATCCCTTGGTGTCATCAAGGGCTTGTGCCTGGTAATTAGCCATATGTGGACGGGAGACGACACCTGCCTGGACTAGTCAGGGCTAGGGCTGTAAAATAAACCAAATTATTTGAGCTCGATTCGCGTTCAGCTCGTTTAAGATCAACTCATTATGTGAACAAACCAAGCTCAAACACATTTTAAAGCTCGTTAATTTTTCAAACCAACTTGAACAACCTATTACTTGGCTCGGTTGTACTCAATTAGATGCATTATAAAACCCAAACTACTCGTGTTCGGCTCGTTCATAGCTCATTTAAGATCAGCTCAATATATGAACAAACCAACTTGAACACGTTTTTAAGCTCCTTAATTTTTCAAAAAACCTTGAACAACCTACGATTATATGCACAATAAAAAAATTAAAAAAATCAAACTATTCGACATCAGTTTTGATTGACTCACTTAAATCTCATTTAAGATGGGCTCAAAACAAGTAACCCATATTGAACTTATTTAAGTTTTTAAGCCAAGTTTTCGAGTCAACTTGTTTAAAGTCCTAACAAATCTCTGAATATCCTTAACATAAATAATAAACAGTTGGATAAACTACTTATTTCTCTTTCAGCTCGAACTATGCTTGTTTTTAAACACAAGCACTATCATGTACATATCTATGTCTGGTGTACACATACTGCGTGTTTGAATATAAACGATACTAACCTTGTGACATTGGCAAATTGATACGAGAGAAGATAGCAGATAGCTCGGCCTTCTTGGACTCCAATTCCTAATTGTGAGTTTCATAGGGATTGAAATTGAAGTGAAAACACTAGTCAGGGTTAGGGATTGAAGATAAATAATGGGGAAGAAATTGAAGACAAAGAGCGAAAAGGGATGAGAAAGGGAAGAGAAGAGAAAAGGACACCTTGACTCTGTAGGAGAGAGACTTGAGCTGAGATTGAAGTGCGACGATGATGTGGTCTGACTCGGGCTTTGCAGACTCCGCGATCTCTCTGCTCGGTTGATCCTCCATGACACCGCACTGTGTAACGATTCCTCCGGACTCCAAAAAAGGGTGCGTGCACTTGCTTTGTGTTTCTCTCGAATATTTTTATTAGACCAAATTAAACCCTACAGCATGAATAATTATCAAGTACACATTTATATTTATAAATTAATCTATAATTATGTGGTATAAGAGTTGGCTCTACCATCATTAAATACGTAATAAATTGAAAATTAACACAAATTCTATCTCGTCGTTATGGATAAAAATTATGAATACTTTTTCAATGTCTCAAATATTTTTCTTTTTTAAAAAAATGATTCAACTTATCTCTGGTTGGTTAGGTTCCTCAATTAAAACATTATGCTGCCCATTTAAATCGTTCTGTACGGCTCATCAAATATTTTATACCTGTAAAATTTTTCATCTTTTATATTCATTTAATTTATATACATTTGAAATATATAAAAAGTTTGAAAACATTTTGCACAAATTTCATATTTTTTAAATATATGTAGATAAAGTGAATTTCAAAATTTTAAAATGATTAAACTAATAAAAATTTTAATTGAAAAAAAAAACCAAAGGATTGAAAACTCACAAGGTTATTTTCTAAAACGGGTAAATTACTCTGACGCCTCCTGAGCTTTCTATTTAATATAGATCCTCCATTTGAAAATTTACACTTACCTCCTGTTAAATTAAAATGATATATTTGCCCTTTAAATTTTATATATATTTTGTTCATGTCATTTCAAAGGAAATAACGATCATCTTCTTTAGTTTAACTCACCCAAAAAATTAATTTTTTTTTATTTTCGTGTTTTTTTTATTGAATTTTTTAATATTTTAAGTAATTTTTTTTATTTTCTAGATACACATAATCTAAATATACTTAAGAAGTATAACACTTTGTGATTTTTTTTTTTAAATTCACCAAATACAAATAATATATATATATATACAAAAATTCAATATATTATCTTATTTTATTGTATTCAATGAATTTTTTAAAAGTTTTTTGTACAAATTTTATGCTTTTTAAATATTTCTAAATTAAGGCTTGTTTTGGAAAGTAAGTTAAAAGTTAGCTTTTGACTGTTTTTCGGAAAAAAATGTGTAAAAAAGTAGAGAAATGGTATAATTCAAAAAAAACTAAAAAGTCAAAAAATTTGCTTCGAGTTGCCAAAACAAGCCTAAATTGATCTAATCTAGATATAATAGTGAAAATAAAAACGAAAATTTTATTCATAAATAAAAAAATTATACAAAAAATATCATAAAAATATTGTGATAATGATATTGTTATAAATATAAATCATGTTTATAGGTGTTTTATTTTAAAATGAAAGGTCACCATTAAGCTATATCATCGTGTTTGAAAATTTTATATAAAATTTATGTTTGTATATTATCACTTCATAAAATATGTTCAAGTAGAATTTAATGATAGAAAGTTGTAGAACGTAACTATTATGATAGAAAAAAGAAATGATAGGAAAAATAACAAGATGGTCATTTAAAAAAAATAGAGTATGACATCAGCAATCCATGAGTAATTTGTACTGAGGTCACAAACCTCAATGAGGGGATGTAATTTTTCAAATATGAGGAGAAATCTGTATTAAATAGAAACCTAAGGGACGTTAGCGTAATTTACTTATGTTTTATTAAATTAAACATTTATTTATTAAATTTAAAAATTATTCAAATAAAAAAATATTTATTAAATTAAATATATTTATTATGTAAATATTTTAATAACTTTTAAATTTTCTAATTTGTGTTGATAAACCCTATTTAGGAGATTTTTTATTTATTTTATATGTAAGGTATTTTAAACCAGCTTATGCGTACCAAGCGAAGCCCCTATAGTCCAAACAGGTTTATTCCCTGTAGTCCGTGGCCCTAAAGCCATGTTATTTGGACTGATTAGATAAGGGGAATTGTAATCATAGGATACACAGTCTGTGGACTATTTGGTTGAAAATGACGTGTATCTCATATTTGTTTTATCATAGGATTAAATGTTTTGAAATGACTATCATATTAAATCCAATGTTTGATTGAAATATTATGAAGAATGATAAATACCTATTAGGGATGGTCACAGGATGGGTTTGCCATTTCCCACCCCCGCTCCTGTCGACAAACTCCACCCCCACCTCCGCCCTACCCCCACTACGGTTGGAATTTTTCAACCCCACCCCTGCAGATACCCGAGGATATCCAACCACATTGCAAATAGTCAAAAAAATTAAAAAATATTTAAATTCTTAACACACTAAATATTTTTTTTAATATTTTCATTATATAAACAGTGAGTCTTTTAAGATTATTATTTATTTATATTTAAACAAAATCATAGACTTTTAATATTATTTTCTTAGAGCTAATTATATTATATAATATTAATTATATCGGGTCGGTTACTACATCGAGCCGGGCTTGGATGGGAGAAGCAATACCCGTCCCCACGCCCACATAAGTGTCGGTGCTGGTAAAATTTACCCCATTCGGGTGGGTAAGTGCGGGCCCCCGCTGATCAAATTAAAATGGCCATTCCTAATACCTATGAAGCACAAGTACTCAAAAAATGTTGTCGTACAAGTACCGAGTGCATGTATGCGTACAGGTATGGGTGCACACATACTGGGTACAGCAAAAACATACCGGGTAGGTTTTATACAACTTGTATACATTCGGTATGCTATGGGTACGCGATGGGTACTCCATGGATACGTGGTTGTATACTCCAGGGTCAAAACCAATTTTTCTGATTTTTTGAGGGGCACAAGAGCAATTATTGTTTGCTCATTTTGAAAAATTAAATAAATATCGAATATTTAGTAATAATAAAAAAACATAAAAAAACATATTATATCTATTATTTTGAAGAAACCTTCAATCATTCGAAGAACCAGAGTTAGTTGACTTCCTATTGAAGAACATAGTTCATCGAATTTGCTCTCCATCGAAGATGACATTGAAGCTTGATATTCTGGTGAGTTCATCTTCTTCTTCTTCTTTCTCTTTTTTATTCCCTTATTCTTTTCTTCTTATTTTTCCTTCTTATTCTTCTTCAATTTTTTTAGATTTTTTTAAAAGATTTTGTCCTCTTTCTTTGATTCTTCTTTCTCTTGTTTTTTTTTTTTTTCATATTCTCTTGTGAGTTTTTCAAATCCCCTTTTCTCTCTTTTTATTTTAGATATTTTTTTTACTTTCATCTTCCTCTTTCTTCTTCTTTTTTCTTTTTCAATTTTTTTTTAATATTCCCAATTCATTTTAGATTTTTAGTGATCTAATTTTTTATTTTTTAACTTTTACATTTTTTCCCACAATAGCTGGAATTTGATGCAAGCTACAGTCTTATTCCTCTTTAATCATCTTAAAAAACAATTAGGTAATCACCCGCTCTATGTCCTTTTTTCTTAGTGTTATAGTCTTATGTTAAAATAAAAGATAAAAAAATTTAATTACTTTCATCATAGAGTATTGATATTTTAAATTGTTATTTGAATATTTGGAAATCATATATACTTTAATTGTTGAAGGATGATTTATTTTTTGGTTTTGTAATTTCTCTTTTTAATTATGATAGTAAACTTTAATTTGTATGTTAGATGTTTAGCGATAAATTAAAAAAAAATAAAAAATTTAACGTACCTCAGCCGCATCCCGTATCATACCCATTCTCATATCTACACCCGTGCTTCCTAGATAAATACTTAAAAGACTATTTTGTCCTTTTCAATTATTTAATAAGTAATAACAACATTAGACCTATCTTTAATATTTTAATTCTTTTTGGCTAGATTAAATAAAAATTTATTGGGAAAATAATTTAAAAAAAAAACCTTAGAGTTTGACCTTTTTAAAAAAAATAAATCCTAAAATTTTAATTTTGTTAATTTAAACCCTGAACTACATTTCATGTATACCTATATTGAGTTTAATAATTAAAATATCATTTTTTTGTTGGTTTTAGTTAATGAAAATAGACAAATGGTTTAGATTAAAAACAAATAAAAAGATTAAGATTTAAATTGATAAAATTGAAAAGTTAGGGTTTATTTTGTTATAAGGGTCAAACTTAGGGTAATTTTGTAAAATCAAATAATTGGATGGCAAATATGTAATTTTACCATTTAACCCCATAATGTAATTATGAGTGATCTTATTAGTACCCTATCAATTATTTTGGATCATTTATTTATTTGGACCCTCACTTATAAATTCTAAAACTCTTTAAAATTTCATTCCTCCTCCCAAATAATATCAAAATTATCCATTTGAAAACATTACACCCATTCAAAATTATCAAAAAAAACCTATCTCCCAAAACCCTAAAAAACCCACTACAGTGGAACCTTCAAAAATCGGTGGAAGAAAATTTGTTCACCACTTGCGGCCACTTGTCATAGTGATTAATAAGTTTTTTCTCTACTTGATCATGAGTTTTGTCAATCTGATTGATTTTTTTTTTTTTTGTTTGTCTATTACCTCTTTTTACACAAATCCACTTTTATACTTCTCTGGTTAGTTCTCTGTCACTCATCCATGACCTCATTGTGCTGGTAAGTATTGTTCTTCTCCTTGGGGTCTTTTCTAGCATTGTCAACTTAAAGTTTTATATTTCTATTAGATGATTCCTACTTCATTTCCACATATTTATTCACGACCTTGCGGTTATCTATTCCCAAACAAATATGCAATGTTCTGTTATCTGTTCTCGAACAAATGAACAATGTTCGAGCATGTGTTTTTTACTTTTGGTCATATGTTCAGAAATTCAGTCTTTAAAAAATGACGAACAGTTTTCATTATTTTTGTCATGTTTTTCAAGAAATTTATTCTTACAAAACCAATCTTCTTTGAGTTAAGAACACCATCAAAATTATGAACCTCCTCTAAGCTTATATTATTATATTCCTCTCGTCTCATAGAGTTGTGATTGTCGAAAAAAATTTATATTCATTGTCATTACCGGAGAAGTGTATGTAATTGAAAGGTTGCCACCGTTGCCACCGGAATATTGCTGCCAAAGGATTTTCAAAGTTTTAAGAGTGAATAGGTTTTGAAGATGATATTTGGGGAAAATGAATGGGTGGTGATAGA